TAAAACCTAATGAATTTTCAATATAAATGAAGATTAATCTATATAACTAAACGACCCTTAATTAATTAGGTGATTTAACTTCACATGATTATTAATTTTGTCAATGTGGGCACTATTTGGGAGACAAATTAATGAGTTGGGAGGGGGCATAGGTGTCAAATCAATTAATTACTCTCTCGTCCCAGAAGTAGATAAAATTAATTTTTATTTGTAATTTAACTTTAATAGTAATAATTCTTGAAATACGGTACTAATTACGGAATGTTATTTTATTCAAATACTAATGAAAAGTAAAAGAATAAAAATTTCTTCTAATTAATATTTTGAAGGAGTGTATTTACGATAAATAATTTGAGACACGAGAAATAGTTTAATTAGAACATAATTCATAGATGGCAGCACAATGTTTTTTGATAAACAGTATTATATCAAAATTGCATTTAATAAATTTGCTTAGTGAGAGGGACATAATTTATTCGAGCAGGTTCGATATGTCCACTTTTTAGCCAATTGGGACATAAAGATCGAGATATATATATATATATATTATAACATATTTATATACTAATAGTTTATTCTGAAGTCTACACTAAATTTGGTTGGGAGGGTGGGGATAACCTCTTTTCTGATTAGTCATGTCTTGTTCTTTTGGCAAAATTGATGGAACTTTAAATGGAAATTTGCCATCAGACTGAGGGACAAGATAGGCAAAGAAGCCAAGCAAGGTGTCAAGTCTTAAATAAAAGCTTCTTTGCTTGTTAGGCTACTATTACTGAATAGATCACCATCTTCGAATTTGAGTTCTAAAAATAAAGAAATCACTGATAGAGAACATTGCTTCTCTCATGAACGTCCTTACATGATGTGAATCAAGATTAGTCAAGACCATCAAATTTGTGAATAGTGTGTGGGGCTCTTTCTATTTCATTATTAATAATATAGCAACATAAAAAGAATGATATATGGAGCATTGGAGTGTGATGTTTAAATATAATTGGAGTCCTCTAATTGTATGGGACACTTCTTTAAGTTGTTCAAGAGCATTAAAAATTGACAAATCAAGGGAATTAGAAAGAGATTATAATTAAATGGGGCTTATCATTGGATGAATAATGTAACAAACTAAAGATTTGCAAATCTCTGATTGGCATGTAGGTAGTAATTAGTAGGGATAAAATAAACTGTGACTGTTCCAACATGTGGCTCTAAAATCCTTTATGTCTCCTTGAAACAAGAAAATCACATGGAAAGGTCTTTATAATTCATATACAATTGGACAAGAAATCACTTATAAATAGTGTTTAAGATGGTAGTACCTTTTTTTTTTTTAACCTCCTAGCTTACTTTTCATAGCTGATTTAATTCCCCTAATGATTGTTTAAGTGAATATAGATCTGGTCCTAATCATTGTTTAAGAGAAAACTTTTAATCCACTATCATTTCATAATAATGAATTAAGTACTCCTTTCAATGTCATTTTACTTTGGCCTTGTATAAAAAATAAATATTTTATTTTATTTGTCTATTTTTAGTATGACAAGGGAGTTGTATTAATTAGGTTAGAATTTCAAAGCATTATTAAGAATGTTAGTTCAGTAAAATACATATTTAATTAAAATTTTAGAAAAATATTTCAGATCAATATGTGTCAAGTAATATGAAATATAGGGAGCGAGAATTTAATCAAAGTGATCAAGCTGAAAGGTTGGTCCTAGCTAGGTGTTTCTGGAATATTGACTATATCATATATGGAGATGCATGCACTAATATAATTAGTAGGGTTAGTCAGAGTATTTGCTTTTATCCTCCAGGTCAAGGTGGTGCAGTCTTGTCAATATTATTTCATTGTTCTGAAAAAAAAGATATATTCAGTAAGAAAAAAGTAGTTCTTAATCACAATTTATGTGATGAAGTTTAATTAGGTATGTAATTTAGAAGATAATTTTAAAAACTGAATAAAGTTTAAAATGAATCATAATATTTGTTCACTGTTAATAATTTCATAAAAGGTAACTGGATTTTTAAAATTATTTTCTAAATAAGAAAAGATAATATATTTTTTGGACAGACAAAAAGAGGAGAGAGAGAGTATATGATATACATAAATACATAAATTGGTATAAATGTAGTCTTACTTATTTTTTGTTAGTCTGCTCAAAATTGAAAACCTTGTTTATATATGAGTTAAAAAAAAGCAACTTTCACATATAATAAACATAAAAATCATATTTATATGTTATAGCTATAGTTTGTATAATTGCGCTCCATATAAAATTTGATGTTTGTTATGGAGCTTTTGATTTGTATAATTCGCTAGATACATCCAATTTTATACAAATTGTTCAGTTTTGTATAAAGTTATTTATACATTGTAATTTGTATAATAAGATCTATATTTGTATAATTATAAGTATATAAGATGAAAATATACGTATTTGTATTTGTATATACATTTTTCTCTCGCTTTATACAAACACAAACGCATTTTATACATTATATACCGAAATGTATAAAATGGCTAATTGGATACCGAAAATGGCTAATTGTATACCGAATCAGATGACAAAAAAATGAAATGTTTGCTGCGAATTACAAATAAAATAAACTATGGTTATAACATTTAATTTGAATTCATAATTTGCTATTTCATATTAATTTTCTTAAATTTTTATGTACAGTTAGTTTACCATCTTTTACCCCATCAGATAATTTTAAAGGTAAATATAATAATTACTTGGTGAAGTAATATTAATGGTTTACCTGTTTAATAAAGTTGTAATTTACATAAGAGTAAATACTAATAATATTAAAAGGAAAGTTGAAACCTAAAGCTCTAATGCGGGCTTCGAACACCAATTGGAAAAAAAGAAGTTAGAATCCTAAATGTACTCTTTAAATCATACAAAATGTCATGTCAAGTTGTTTAAAAATGGGTCATGATGTGCTCTATCCTATGCCTTATAATTCAATCGATCATAAGTGAGAAAAAATTCACAACAATTCAATAAAATTGCATCATAAATGCATAGTAACTAAATTGTTTTGTGAATACTCCCTCTATCCCTAATTACTTATCCACTTTTGAATTGACACACATATTAAGAAAACAATTAATGACAAAGTAAGTTTATCATTTTACCCCTATTTATTATGTAGTGGATGAAAAGTTCTACATTTTTCAAAGTAATTAGTCATTTAATTGAGGGTATAATAGGTAAAAAAAAATTGTTCTTTCTTGATTTGTCAAAATGGACAAATAATTAGGAACAACTATAAAAGGAAAAGTGGACAAGTAATTAGGGACATATGGAGTAATAAATTTTGCCACTGCATTACTGCTAGGGGTGTGCACTATTCGGGTTAAACCGAATAACCAAACCAAATCAAACCGAATTTTCCTTTGGATTGTTTTTTGGTTTTTGGTTTTTCGGATTGGTTTTGGATTAATAAATTACTTTGTTTGTTTTTTTGGTTTGGTTTCGGATTTTAAAAAATAAAAACCGAAAACACCGAATTCTCTCTCTCTCTCTCTCTCTATATATATATATATATATATATATATATATTTAGGTCTAGAATTAAGTCGGAGTTAACCACTTTTGTCTTTTTTTGGTTATTGCCTTTCACGATGATTACATTTATATTTTATGCTTGAACATCTATAATAGATATACTTATAAGTATTATGTTGTAAGTTTTTCTTATGATTTATATTAGAAAGTATATTTAAGGGATTCAATATTATTACTTTGGTTATGTTATTAATTATTAACATAACCGAAAAAAGGCGAACCAAATAGAGGAAAACCAAATCAAACTAAATTTATTTTGGATCGGATTAGGTTACACTTTTACAAACCAAAAATCAAAAAATTCAAATCAAATAATGCAAAACCAAACCGAAAACTCGAATGCACACCCCTAATTACTGCAATAGTACTAGAAAAAAACAGTAGTAATTTGGCCAAGTCATTTCTCCAAGATGAAAGGCACAGTAAATCCGTTAACATAGAGCTATCCTAGCTAGGGTTAATGTTAGCCTAACACAGAAAGATTCCATAGTACAACCCTAGATATGAAAACAACTAACTCTCCATTTTTTGTGCTCACCAATCATCTCAATCCCAAAACAACACATTAAATATTAACATATATTGCTACTACAAATGTAAACATATCCAATTGTAGGGTATACAAAGTAATATGTCGGTTAAAAAATTATACGGTATATATATATATATATAAAGTCAATTCTAGTTTTATTTATATGATTATATTTTTATATTTTAAATAGTTTAAGTGAATGTCTTCGTAATGATGTAATAAAACAAAAAGTAAAAATAACATCAAGCAACACTTATTTTTTTTAAATTTTCCACCCGGTATCCTGATTAAATTTAGATTCGTGCACATGGGTAAAATATTCCCTAACAAAGTGACTCCATACTCAAGGGGACTCGAACACAAGACGTTTGATAATACAGGAAGAAGATGGTAATACAAACCAACAATCATATTATCATAACTAAGTACACATGGTAATACAACAAGAAAGATTTAAAAAAGAATTACATTTTTTTTTCTCTAATCTAGCTAAGCTAGGGTTTTAACCACCCACCACCACCATCATCACATGGCTCTAGGATTATATAAGTCAAATATTGGACAGAACCAACAATCAAAAGGCCGGATCTCCCAAAAAGATGTGTCTCAAATAATTCTGCCTGCAGCTAGCTGATGACTTCTAAGTACTCTTTTGGCTTCCACTCATTTAATTAATTCCCAGCTTTGATAATAGGGTGATTTTACAATATAATCCTCCATGCACAAGTTATTATATACTAGAGGCTTAGCTAGTTATAGTCAGGTTTAATGGATCTAGCTCCCTGCACAAATTAACAAAAATAATTATCAGCTCTAATTATTATTTGTAGATAAATTAAAATATTGTGATATCTTTTTTTTTTTCTTTTAGCACTTGATGGATTGCTCACCAAATGTTGTGTAGGGCAGGACAGTAGGGGCCTGGTGTTATATTAATGGAAAGAACAAAAGTTGTTGCTGAATCCTGACTGATTTATTATTTTTTGTCTTTGGTCATCTGCACCCCATAAGAGCTGTCCATTACCCTGAAATTTTTTTACTATTCCATGTTAGAAAATTTCACATCATGTATATTACCTAGCTATATACTATTTATCAATCATATTCTACAGTATTTTTTCTATGTATTAACGTTGATATAATATAAAACTATACTACTTATAAGGTAATTACAGGTAATTCTTCGATAACCTGATAAAAATAATAACTAATTAACCTTAGTAATAATGTGTCATCAAAATGTTGGATATCAATTCCATCATTATTGTGTTCTTTTTAGGTGTTTGTCAATTTGTGTGATTATGAATTGATAATGACTATTAAGTAGATTCAATGAATATGTAATACCTGAGGAATAGAATTAGGGAAATGGGCTTGTTGAAACATGAGTGATGTTGAATTATCCAAAAATGGATAGACACTATTAGTGTTAGCAATTACTTCAGCTGCCTGTGATGTAGTAGTTGTGCTACCTTGCTGAATATTTGCCATTTGTGTCTCCAAGCCACTCAAACTCTGGAAAAAAAAATCATAAAAAATGAGTCTGATTAATAATGAAGTCGAAACTTGAAAAATTAAGTTTTTGAAGTTGAATTTGAAAATAATTTTTAAAATTTATGATTAAACACTAGGTTACCTGGTCATCAGGTCTGACCATGAGTGCATCTAAGTCCATTCCAAAGTCATAGTACATTGGATTCAAAGAAGTAAGTTTCATTGAGAGAAACTGAAACATGAGAGACACAATTAGTACTAATATTTTAATTATACAATGTTAAATATAAAGGAAATTATTAATTTATCATTCTCTTTTTTTTACCTCAACTTGGTTTTGCAAAGATTGGACATAATTAATTATCTCATCCAACATAAGGGCCTTTCCAGTTACCTGATCTCATTCAAGACACATGAAAATTGTCAGAAGAATTATAATTTAAAAGATTTTAAAATACTAATTTCTTGAAAAAGTGCCTTTCCATGGTACATGGAAAGACAAATAAAAGACAAAAAAAATTACTGAATTAACTTTGTCATTTACCTTGTCACAACCAGGAACAAGAGATTGCAATATCTTCATCCTTTCACTTATTTTCTCTCTCCTCACCTGAAATCATATCACAAGCTAAACAGTGAAAAAACTGTTGCACATAAATAATAGTAGTAGTAGACACCAACGGTTATGATGGAGTGGTAAGTATCAAATTGGTTATGAACTCGTTTTTTATAAGAAGCATTTTAATCCAATGTGATACTTTTCAACACGAATTCAAATTTATTCAACTCGGTTTTCACACCATATGTTAAATTTTAGTATTCGTTCTGTCTCAATTTATATGACTTACTTTTCTTTTTAGTCGATAAAAAAAAAGACACATTACTATATTAAATAACAATTTAATTTCAAAATATTCATTTATTCTTAATAAAATAATGTATAGTTACACAAATAAACTCGGTGTCAAATCGAACGGAGGGACTAATAGCTAAAGGGGCAAAAGTAAAATTATACCCTTTCAGCAAGACTATGGCTATCAGTTGCCTGACCCCTTCTTGCTCTAACATGAATGTACCCTGTTGGTGCTTCTTCATTAGCTTTCTTCTCATCTTTGGCTACTAATTTGCTATTAATTTTCTTCTTTTTCCCATCATCACCCTGTTTCTCATTCTAATAAGATTAAAAAAAAACAGAGTAATCATTAATCCCAATTCCAAGAAAATGAACAATTTACAAAACAGAAATGGAAAATTAGAATTACCTTAGAATGAGCAGAAGTCATAGAAGAAGACCCTTCACTAGATTTTCTTTTCTTATCCAAAGGACTAACATTAGCCTTATTATTATTTCCATTTTCAATTTTATCAGTAACAGAGGAAGAATCCATATCTAAGCTTATACTGCTGGTACTTTTAGGGTCGTTCATGGTTTGATCAAGGCAAAAGCTATTTTCATGAAGAATTAAATTGGAAGGGAATTCTTGTTGGTAAAATTGAGGAAAACAATTTTGTACTATACAAGAATTGTTTGGTTCCTCAAAAAAGCCAGACATCTTAGTAGGAGAAGTTGGCAAAAATACTGAATCAAGAAGAAAAGGGTTATTGTGTTGTAATTGGTGTGATGAAAAAGCAGCCATCTTTTTGTTTAGTTTTGTGATTTGCTTTGGAATTCTCAATGAAAAAACAGAGGAAGTGAGAGATAATAATGGGTCTGAGAAAATCTCTAAGGGTCAGGTTTATATAAAGATGAAGAGAGAGATAGGACATAATTTTATTTTATTTTAGCTAAATATTGGACATCTTTTTATTTATTTTCTAGTTTATTCCCATGCATTTGACTGGTCTAATCAAAGCTTGGGGGAGGTAGGGTCTGTTAAGTTTGCTGGTAGCTTATATCTATAGAAAATTCTCTGTTTATAAAAAAAAAGATAAGGGTATGAAAAATATCTTAATTTTGGTCGGATTTACTATTGCGATACTAAATTTTCATGAGGACCTATTATCTTCCTAGACTATAATATCGTATTTTAAATATATATATTTGTCCACGTGGACATAAAAAATAATACAAAATTATAAATAGTAATGTGTCCACGTGGGCACATATATACCTTTAAAATACACTATTAAATAGTTCAGGGGGTAAAAATACGGAATTAAATAGTCTAGGAAGGTAATAGTTCCTTATGAAAATTTAGTATCGCAACGGCAAATTCGACCAAAGTTGGGGTATTTTTTAGACCCTTATCCCTATAAAGAAATAATGAAATTTATGTTTAAGATATTAAATAATAAGTAGATAATGAGTATGAATAAGTCATTATAGAGAAGAGATCTTGAGTTCGAGTGTTGTTGAATTTTACTCCAATATGAGATATTTTGATATGAATAAAACTTGATCAGATTTTAATATAAGTATCGAACATATAAATATAAAACTAAAAATGATAATGATATTAGAACAATAGTAGCAGAGTTTTATAAACGGAGTGTACTTGTTTGGCTATGACAGGAGTTGGGAGAGAGAGAGAGAGAGATAGAAGTAGTCTAAAAAAGAAATGAAGGAAGGTGATTAGAAAAAAAAAATGATATAACTTCAGCTTACTGATAACATGATCCTAAAAAGAAAGCTATGAACGTTTAAGATTAGAATAAAAAGTTGTAGTAGATAATCTTGGTGTTGTCACATATTTTGTTGGAGGGGTAGAGGGTCAGGCGACCTCTCAGAATGATAAGGGGTTATAAGGGGTCGTTTGTGTGATGGATAAAGAAAAATAATAAATTTTAAGTACTCCTCAATTATTTGTCTGGTTACAAAGTGTAAGATAATTTATACCAGGATTAATAATTATGACTGAGATATATTATCCCTACTTGTGGGTGAAATACTAATCCTGGGATAACTTATCTCACGATAAAAATGTAAAATAACAAAGTGCCCCCTAAAATCCTCTTTTATAAACAAACAACTTATTCTTAGAGGGTATTTTTGTAAACAACAACTTATTCTTAGAAATTATGCATGTTATGCATTTTGACAAACCAAACAGCCAATAAAAAATAACCTCAACATAACTAATTCCATCATAACTTATCTCAATATACTTATTCCATCATAATTAAGCGGGATAAAGGGTCTGAAAAATACCCCAACTTTGGTCGAATTTGCTGTTGCGATACTAAACTTTCATGAGGACCTATTACCTCCCTAGGCTATTTAATACCGTATTTTAAACATATATATTTGCCCACGTGGACATAAAAAATAATGGAAAATTATAAATAGTAATGTGTCCATGTGAGCACATATATATCTTTAAAATATACTATTAAATAGTTTAGGGGGTAAAAAATACGGTATTAAATAGTCTAGGGAGGTAATAGGTCCTCATGAAAGTTTAGTATCGCAACAGCAAATCCGACCAAAGTTGGAATATTTTTCAGACCCTTATCCCTAATTAAGCTCAACATAACTTGTCTTTAAGCCGAACGACCCCTAAGTAGTCATATATTCTTTTATTCTTCAGTGGGTATTATTATCTGTTGTTTTATTTGCTTTGTATCATGTCTTCTTTTTGTGTGTCAAAAACTTTTCTTTTAGAACTGAGAGTCTAGTAGAAACAACATATATTCCTACCCGACAAAATAGGTATAAGTGGCATCCATCCTATGCTCATCAAGTGTTATTTCAATAAGATTGGGGACTAAAGCAAGCTTCATAATGAGGCCTTACTTTTTTTCCTTCTAATTGACATATATAAATTGATAACCATAATATATTTGGTGTAATCCTACAAGTGAAATCTACGGAGGGTAGGATGTATGTAAGCCTTATGAAGTAAGAATGTAAAAAATGCAATTTTTCAATGAAAATGTATAGTATAAAGTTAAAATAATAAAATCAAACTCAAGAATTTAAAAAGCTGATATAATGATATAAAAAAGTGTTATACTAAATTAAATTCGTAGATACAATGATATTGAAATAGTATTTGATTTGTCAAGTTGACCTTGCTTGTTGGGGATGAAGATGAGTGTATTATTGTTGTTATTACTTTTGTGTTAAAGTTTCCTAAAACATGCATGACACACCCCAATTATAATGAAAATGTCAGTTGCTTTTTTTGGTCTTCCGTTGAATGGCTCTTTCATCAGTGAATCAGAGATGCAAACACTGAGATATGATGATTCAACTTTCAAGTCAGTTATTATAATGTAAAAATATGACAATTCACAAGAGTTGAAACGTAATAAAAACATCTATTCATTGCTATCATTAATTGTACTTGTTTTCAGCTCAGCTTTTAATTATTGTACTCATCACAAACCCCTATACTTTAGTCTAATATTTCTAGCACTAATTTAGTCATGGCCGTATTGTAAAATAGCTTACCTACATCCTTGATTAAAGCAAAAGTGGAAAATTGCATTATTACACCATAATTAGTAATCTAATAATACTTTCTCCTGTTCCTAATTACTTGTCCACTTTTTCATTTATAGTTGTCCCTAATTATTTGTCCATTTTGACAAATCAAGAAAGGACAATTTTTTTTACCTATTATACCCTCAATTAAATGACTAATTACTTTGAAAAATGCAAAACTTTTCATCACTTCATAATTAATAGGGGTAAAATGGTAAACTCACTATGTCATTAATTAATTTCTTAATAGGTATGTCAATTCAAAAGGGGACAACTAATTAGGAACAGAGGGAGTACTAAATTGGTATGAATGATTCTATCCTCAAAAAATTTAAATTAATAGATAAAAAGAAATCTTTATAGGATAAAAATCGAGCATGACAAATGGACGAATCAGGAAGTGATATGTGGCAAGAAAAATAGGTTGAAAGTGAGTAATTAGGAGGGATAACATCAAATACTATCCTCATCGTTAGAATGTGATTGAAAACGGTGTTAAAATAAAAATTATTCGTTCAAAATATAAAAAAATTAAAGGGGATTCAAAATTACTCCCTCTGGTCCATATTTACAAAATTAAGCTTTGCCCAGTGATGCTGCCAGCTATCAACACTGGACCTCAGGCTCATTCTATATTCATTATCCCTTAAACTATGTGAAACGAACAAATATGTCCTTACTATCAATATTTTGGTCCAAAAATGTCCTTATCGGTAATAGTTTGGTCAATACCTCCCTTTTTTCTCTCTCTCTCTCTATATGCTAGCTGAATGTTTTGTCCTTGCAAGAATTTTGAGGGCGTTATATCTTCAATATTTTTCAACCAAATTATAAGGGAAAAAGGACAAATATTGTCCCGAATTTTCGTAAATAATATACAGATATCCCCCGTCATACTTTTGGGACATTGGTGTCCCTGCCATTCAAAATCTAGAGCATATATACCCTTTATACTAACAGACATATACGTGTCATAATCTTATCCACCGAACCGATGGATAAGATTGCACCACGTGTCCCTATTTAGTTTTTCATTAGAGTGAAGGGTATACATGCTCTAGTTTTTGGAGGACAAGGGCACCAATGTCCCAAAAATATTATGAAGGGTATCTGCATATTATTTACGATAGTTCAAAGGTATATTTCTCCTTTGTCCCTAAATAAAATTATAGGAGAGTTCACACCATATATAGATCCCCAATGAACATAGTTAGGTTGGGCTAACTGTTGTCTTTGTCCAGGTCCAGCCTGTTCTTGTGGCTCAATATTCATCAGTCTTAAAACGTGAATGAAACTACTATAGTATATATTTGATCCGACCCCCACAATAAAGAAAAATCGTACTCAGTACTGCTTCGATGAGTAAACTTTTGATTACTACTACTCACTTTTGATTAGTGTTACTCTTTCCGTCTCAATTTATATGATTGTACAAAATTTAAGATAGAAATAAAAACTTTTGAAATTTAAATTTTTTGTGCATGGTCTATAGCACTTGTTGGTCATTTGTGCGATTATAAATAATTTCATTAAAAATAAAAGAGAAATTTTACAATTAAATTATTTCATTAATATAGAAAGGAAATATTTTTTTAAATGGAGTTATAAAAAGAAAAATGTGCCACATAATTAAATTGAGACAAAGAGTGTATAACGTTTAAAAATTACTGAACTACTTAAAGAAAACTTTGACACAAGGAAAAATAGAAATTTAATTATCTTTATTCTTTGAATCAATAATTTGAAAATTTGCACATGTAACATAATTATAATGCGTCTGTTGATATATATTTATATAGAGCCAGCAAAGATCCAAAAATATATATTTAGCACCTTTGGAATTTGGATTATCCCTAATCAATTCCTAATGGATTCTAAATTTCTCATTTGTGTTGATTGATAATTAATTTCAAATCATGCATCTTTACAGTCAAGTTGGTTCCCAACAAAGTTCCAATTTTTGGAAACATATATAACTTTAAATCGCTAATACAAAAAGGGAAAATTCCAACCTGGTACTTAGCACAATTAACGCCCTAAATATTAATCACCTTTAATTTTAGAAAATAAAATAAAATTTGTGCCAGTTGTCGTGATAATACTCATAAGTCATAATATAGTGCCTCTCACAGTCCTTCGAGATCTCCACTCAATGTCTTCTTAGTCTAAGCCTATTCTATAGGTTAATCTATATTGGAGCAATTTTTATTTTTCACATAAATTGATTGAATTATTTTTAAAAAAAGTATACT